TGAACCGCTGAACAATAATGAAACAAACAAGCTTCAAATTGCTATCAATGCATATAATGTAAATGAGCTAAGGCTAGACATTGTCTTATGTATATTTTACAGTATTTCTAAATGTTCATGTTGACAATAAAATCTAAAATGCAGTACATTTATGTGTTGCTAAAGGATGCAAAACAGCTAAATGAAAAATAGCTAAATTGAGTTGCCTTTGATTTGGCTGTTGGAGTGTATTGGGGTACAATGTAACCAGTCACCCTGTCTTGACAGCTTGAAGCTTCTTTGTCAGTAGAACCTTTAAATAGTTAAAAATACTCTGTTGCTTCTGTTTTCTTGTTTTGTTTATGAATTCTTTCTCTGAAGTTGTGCCTTAGCACAAATCATGTTCTGTGGTACTCTGCTGACTTTGTACATTTTTGTACTGTGCAGGAGTTTTGAAATACATTATAAACTAATGTGTTTTCTTATGCCTTTTACCCCACTGTGTAAACAGAGATACACAATTAGATATATATATATACCTTGCCACCTAAAGTATGTAACAATTAATAGGATCGTTGAATTCTGACCAGTTACTTAAAAAAAAAGAGAGAACGTTCTCTTTTGGTGCTCACTTTGAACTGCAGTGTGAGAGAACCTGATTTAAGATCAAATGAGTATAGAACCAGATCTAGGTATGATACTAAAAACACTTGTACCTGTAAAATGAGATCTGTCTCTTAATAACAAATTCTGTTGATTAGAATTGTATATTCTGTTTGGTATTAGTTCATACATTGCTGATTACTGTAGCATGTCTGATAGTTGCTAATATAGATCATCAGCTGTGATGTTTTTACATGGCAGATTTTTGCACAGCAAGATACACAAGAAAAAATAGAAACGCAATTGTGGTTGGATTATTTAGTCTGCTGAAAGTTGACCTGGGCACAAAAAAATTGCTGAAAATCAAAAAGTTAGTCAAGTGAGGCAAATTACGTGTTTTGTCTTGTCAAGATTTGTGTGTTTGAAATGGCAGACTAACAGTACTATAGGTTTTCTGTGAAAAGGTACATTATTACTACAGATTTGTGAGGTATTATCATCTGTCCAAGTAGTGATTACTTAAATAAAAATATTACAGAATACCTTCAAGTTTGTCACAGAAACAAGAGGGTCAAAATACTAGAGGAAGCAAGGCAAATTGGAAACATGATTGAGATTGGTCTTATCTAAGGTAAGATATAGGAAAGAGGAAGGAATATTCTCAGTAAAGCAAATAAGCATAATAACATACTGTACATCATGGTCTGTTAGGTGCTGTGTATGTGGAATTTCTAACGTCAAGAGAAATCTTTATTGGTATTTTTGAGCTGTAAAGATGAGCAAATGAAAAAAGGGTAGAATAGTGAATTATCTTAATGAGATTTGGGCTATGGAGAAGGCACTCCTGCTAACTGTTTTCATGTAAGCATAGAACTGCTTGAGCAGAGACTGCATAAAGAAGGAAGTATAATGCTTATCGTGCCATATTAGTAAACCTTGTTTTTTTTTTCCTTTGGATGTTTGCTGTAATAAACCTTTGGAAAACATCAGGAAGAAACATTGGAAAAAGCAGGTGATAGATGGATAATTCGGTATAAATAATTTGAAAGGCTTTCCTGTATGGGCTTGTCAGTCAATTGAACCTTTTGAAATGGTTTGTAGCAGAAGCAAAATGTAGCATTAGCAAGGCACTTGCTGATAGTACGGGTGACTACAAGACAATTTAGAGCAACAGTTCTGGAAAGAGAGAGACTTCTATTGTTTCAGGGGTTGTGAAAATCAAGATGATGTGCAGTTAGTAGTGAACTAAGAAAAACAGGCTACTGATTAAAGGTAAGAAAAGAAAGTTTGTCCTTGCTGTAAGGTCATATAAAGAATGTACAAGATTTTACTGGAATTAATCATTAAAGTTCAAGTTGAATATTTTACTACTATATCTTAGAGGGAATGATGGAGAAGTGTGTCTTATTCATTGAGAACATGGTACCTGTTATTAATTTTAGGATTGCTTTAAGTGTACTTTCCAAAGAGTTTCAATAATAGTTACAGTCCTGCTTCTTGGATTCTTCCTCTTCAGTTATTAATATGATGACAACCCTTATGTTTCCTTTTCTGAGGCACTGCCTGAATTTCTGCCTGTGCAGTCATAATTGTACCCAATCTTCATCTGTTTCCCTATTTGTTTAATGTTAATGTCTACATAAACATTTAGTCATCAATTATATTTTCCCATTATAGTGTTTTATAGTGGGAAAATTACCATGTCTCAAAAGTTAATGAATGATAGATCTACAGATTGATCTTGTTCTTGTCAGAACATCAGATAGCAGCAGCAAAGTTTTCCTGTACCCTGATCTACATGTTAGGAGGTCAGCTTACTGGCTGTAACTCGTGTACTTGTTCCTGAGGCTTTCAGTGGTGGTATAACAGTATTGATGTTGCTTTTGGGCACATATCAGATGAATGGTGCTTCTAACTGCTTTTAAAATAAAAAGTTCAAGTGTCTGTCCTGGTAACTACAGCTGGGTAAAGAACAATTGTTGGTTCTAATAAGACAGTTTAGAGATGATGTTTATTTTTTCAGTCCACGGGAATTTTTACCTGTAATAGTCCATTTTAACTGTGGGTTTATTTTAGTCTTGTGTGTTGTTGGTCTTGGTAACACAGAACAGACCACTGATTCTGAAAGTGACTTTGTTATGATTTCTTTTGACTCATGATGGTGGTTGTTGTTGTTGTTTAGGAAACCTGAATTGACTGACTCTGCCTCTCTGCTAGAGACCTTCAAGTTTCTTGAAAATGCAGCTGCAGACTTCAGTGATGAAGAAGATGAAGAAGATATTGAAGGAAGAGAGAAAACTATCATTGATACTGCAACAGTGAGTGGAAAAAATAATTGAAAAAGTTACGAAGAGCAGAAAAAGTGAGATTAATGAGATGCCTATATGCAAAGTATAAGACTGTGTATGTACACGTGCAAATCATTAATGCATCTTTACGATGGTCTGTCCGAGCATGTGTGCATAAGAGGAATTAGATAATTCTGAGATTGTACATACAAGTTAAGCATTGCCATCCATAATGCTCTAAGTTTGCAGTGACAGATTAAGATTTTTTTAAATCGTCTTTCTACTATTCCATAGTGTCTAGTATTTTTCATACAATTTTAAAGGTAGTAGATGTCCTTTTTTTACCATTTTCAGCTTAGTTTGAGGGTGTTGTTTCTAACGTTGCATGTCAAAATGCATTGTTTCCTGAATGTTTGTATAAACATGTTTATATTTAACATTACTTGTAGAAATTTATCTTTGTGGGGTACAGAACTGAAATGCCACATTTCTCTTTAGCTTGTGGAAGGAAGAAGTATGATAACTGGAAAAGCTATAATGTGTGGTTAACAAACTCTTCTGGGTTTTTATTCAGTGAAGTACCTGAAACTCCCTCACGTGATCTATACTTTGCCATATAATTTGGTCATATGATCCCATAAAATAGGTGCATACAAGAAATACTCAACTTTATCCTCTTTTCAAAATTAATGTTTATTCAACGACTTCTGTTTCTGAACAATTGAAGCAGATAAGAGTTATGATGGATGTGATTGTTTCTATGATCAGTTTTAAGAATGAACGCTTAAAGAACCATTAGTTTTAAAGAGGATCTTTGTAAACTTGTTCCTGTCATCCATGGGCTGTGAACAATTGTGTGAGACTCTTCTGAAAAATCATCTGTATTACAGTATGTTCAAGGTGAGGGAATGAAGCTTGAAGTTTAGAATTGGTTTGGGGTTTGAAACAGGCTTGTTGTATTTAAAGGAAACAATCATTAATCGCTGTGACTTATGGGATATTGGTCTATGTGTCAGTCTTTTCAGGCTGACTCTTAGCATGATTCAAAGTAAAAATATTGTGATGAATGTAATTTTTCTTTTTCTGTAGAAGTGAAAATTATGCTACAGATTTCTTATATAAGGGCATCAGCTCACCTGTTTGTCAAATAACTGTAAAGCATCTCCTCAATTTTGATTGAGGGAAAAGTAAAATGGCAGAAAGTATACAGTGAGTTCCTACATTAAAACACGTTCTTTTTTTTTTTTTTCTTTGATAATTTGGCCAAACTCTGGTAGACTTTTTTTTTTTTTTTTTTTTTTACCAAATTTGCTTTTGAATTTGAAAGGGAAATGCATTTTAAACACGGAAATATTGTGTTTAAATAAAAATATCTGAGGAAGTATTAAGGATGGAATGATTTTTGCCATAGTTAAGCAAATTAACTCCTGCTAGTTGTGGTGCGTTTTGTGTTTCTAGACTTGTCTTTTGGTCCCCATGTAGAGTGATTCCAGAAGTGAGTGTTGAAAAGGCTGTTTTCAGAGAAGCAGTGAGTTTGGGTTTGCTAAAGTCCTTTCTACAGCCTTCTGGGGTTTCTGTTTGTGGTTTTTTAAAAATCTCTATGAAGAGATAGTGCAAACTTTTCTGGTATTTAGGGAAAAAAAAAAAAAGTAGTGGTATAGGTTAGTGTAGATTCATTATTAAGTGAATGGTTATTGATGGTCACAGGGAGAAAGATCTACAGACAGATTTATTTTGTACTTAGTGATTTGAACAAAGTCTGTATGCTTGTTCTAGATTTGCTTATTAATGTGTACTTTTCTGCTTCTTCAGCTTCCTGTTAGGGTTTTGCATAGAAGACATGACCATGCTGCTTGGTGTAAAGATGTGTGTGTAACCTAGTTCAGCTTTTTCTCTTTCCTGACCTTTCAGATTGTGAGGAAAAGGGTGCTATCTGACAGCAGTGAAGACAGAGATACAGAAGAAGCTTTGAAAGAGTTTGACTTTTTGGTTACCTCAGATGAAGGTGATGGGGATTCGAGAAGTTCAGGCGATGGAACAGATTGGGGTAAGGAACTTTAATGGATTATATCAAGGAGGGGGGGTCGGGGAAGATAAGTATATATTGTATTTGTCTGAGATATTGGTCAGAATCACAGCATCTTTTGAGTATTGCTGCAGTAAATAATTGGCAGATTGAAGTCCTCTTGTCATAATATGCTCATTTTTCTGCATACCGCTTGAAGGATTTTTCAAGGTTTATACTTCTGGTTATTGTCTTTTTCCTTTAATAATAAGGCAGATAGAATTTGAATTTTAGGAGTGGAATTTCCATGTGTTTTTCCACAGACCCATGCTAATGAAGGGCTCTGATAAAGCTGTATTTTACAGCTATGACATGAAAGTTATTTCTCTTCTTTGCTTTCTCCCACTTTGATACAGAGAGTAATATGAGTCATAAAGACTCAGTTATATTTTTATTGTGTGTTAGCAGTTACTGTGTGTTAGCAATATGAACTCTGTTCAGTTGCTCAAATTCTCTTTTATAATTTATCAGAATAATAGATCTTCTAGACTAAAGCCCCCTAGAAACAAAGAGATATTTCACAAACTTTTCTGTCCTTTGAGGTTCATGTCCTACAATGCAGAATGCCAGTATCCATTTTACCTTAACATACTTAATCTGCATAAACCTGCCACACAGGGAAGGCAAGAAGGCAGAGAACTGGTTAAATGCCTTGATGGGGAGTTGTTTCATACTTAAACTGCTTTGGGAAGTCTTAAGGATAAGTGGACACAGAGGGAGCTATGGAAGATGAAGGGGTAATAACTAAGCTTTATAACGGAACTGAAAACTTGACAGACAGATAAGCTGTCATAGCTGAGGTTCTCACATGAGCTAACAGTTCCAAGATGCTGTATTTCACTGAAGCCATGTTCATCTCCTGGTTGGACTCCAGGTTATTGTTCAATGTGCTGTAGTCTCTCTGCTTAAGAGGATGTGTCTCAGTATCATTAGATACAGCAGTCGGTATTCTGTTCACTGAGCAAATTTAGGAATGTTACTTTTTTAAGGAAAACATTTTAATTATGTTGTTCTGATACTTCTCTTTAGTATTAAAATTTAATTCATTTATACTAGGTAAGTGTAGCTATTGCTTGTGTCACCAAAAAGTTAGCATGCCAACAGGAGCTTCTTTGTTCTCAAATTCACTCTTGTGCTTTATTTTTACTTTTGTTTATGACAACTGAGTATAAATTGAGCAAAAATCTAACAAAAACAAATTATGGAAACTAGTACTTTCATTTCTAGAAATATTAAGAGTTCTTTTGAGTGATAGAAATTTCCTATTTTTCAATTACTAGTTTCACAATTTGTGAACTGTATTTAAGAATAAGCTGCTTCAAGGAACTGCCATTATGAATCACTCATGCTAATTTTGTGAAAGTGAAACTGTTAAATATAGCCCAGAAGAGTGATGATGTGTAGTGAGGACAGAGGCAAATGGAGGAAGTCCTTGCTTTGTTTTGGGTCGCAGGCATTACTGATCAGTTACTGTAATCTGTTGAACCCATGTGTCTTGAAAGGTCCTCAGAAATGTTCAGGTAATTTTTAAATTATAAAGCACTTGCACAGTAGTAATTCTGGATCCATTTGTAAAGTTGAACAGAACCTGTGGGACATGCAGGAGGCATCTGGGGACAGTCTGTAGAAAATGAATGGATTAAGTATTTTCCTGGCAGTAATACAGTCTATATAAATCCATTTAAACTTATTACTGGAGAGCGAAAAAGTCTTGTCTAGCCAAGGAGGTAAAGCATGATTAAAACTTCTAACCTCATCCCAGAAAGAATATGTACTTGTTTCTCTTGGGCATGATTTTCTTATACATTTTTTGAGTTCTTTAGGCAATGTTTGATCATTAGTGGTACTTAATTGGGCATATGTATTAAGAGGACATGACAGCCCACAGACCTTCTTTTCTAGAGTCTCTCTTCAGCTTATCACTACGTATGTATTTTCATTTTTATAGCTGCTCTAAAAAGACTAATGCCTCCAGATTTTGGGTCTTGAAGTAATCTCTCATTTGTGAGTATAGGATCATCACTGGAGGGTTCAAAGGTGTGAGGGATCATCTAGTCCAGCCTCCTGCTCAGGTCTATTTGCAGCAGGTTACATTGGCAACCTTCTGGTTAAGTTTTGAACATCTGCCAATGAAAGAGTTCTTCTAAACTCAAAGACAACATTCTGGTACATAGCTGTCCTCATAATAAAAAGTATTTTCTCCTCCTGTGTTGCAAGTCTGAACAGTCTGTCTGTATACTCGTTCACGAGGTAGTTGCAGGCAGCACTAAGATGCCTCTCTTGCCATTGCTGAGCGCTCACAGCAGTCTCAGCCCCTCCTTGTAGCTCATTTGCCCCAGCTGCCTTACCCATCCGAGTGGCTCCCCTGGACTTGCTATGCTCTGTGAGTACAGGGTACTTAGCATCATCCTAGCAAGGTTTCCCAGGATAACAAACACAAGACAGGAGGTAGTACACAAGGTGTGGTCTCACAAGTGCCAAACAGGGGAATGATGACTGACATAGCCCTACTGGCCATGTTCTTGTCACTGCAGCCCAGGATACTGTTGATTGGTTCTTGCACCTTTGCTGCAAGACTATGCTGCTGACTCCTGTTTAATTTGATGCTGATGGAGCATCCCTAGGATTTTTTCAGCATAATTAGTTTCTAACAAATAAGTCCCTGTAATAACCTGTGTCTGGTTTTGTATCTTCTGTCCAATCAGAGTGACTGCTACAGGTTGTGATCGATAGTGTCGTGCTTCTTCTACAGACATTTAATACTCTTTCTGCATATTAGTTTGAGAATAAGTTTGTTACTCTTCATATTTTAAAAGGTCTAGAATAGTTTATTGATGCACAAAGGAAACTTGGTCTGAAAGGAATTAAACTTTAAATAATAAAGCTGAGATTGTAATGAGGAAAATGAAACAAAACCATAATGCATCTAAAAAACATTTGTAGCTGTAGTGGTCATGAAAATAAATATGTATGAGGAAAAGCTGTATTACCTCCCTATTTGCAAATTATTTTTTTAGCTGCCTCAGTACAGGCTTTCCATATATGGAAAAAATTACTTGCAGATTTCAACTCGTATAACACATTTTGTTCAAAATCTCCAAATACTATCCTACTCAAAGAACACTAGTTTTTTTTGTATCATGTCACAGGGAAAACAATTTGAGAGTTATTTAAAAAAAAAAATTGAGTTTTTTTTCTATTAGGGATATTGAAAAAATTTGCATTTTTTTTTTTTTCAAAGACTAAGAACTCAGGCCTTCCCCTTTTTGTGAAATTATGTGGCTTTAGGGCTTTTAGATTTTATTCAAACGTTGGTGACATATACACTGTGTTCCAAAGTGATTAAATGTGCTGCTGCTTTGTGTAAATGACAACATAGCAGAAAGACAATGAAAAGAGAATTTGCAACGTGGTGATGCAACATCTGAGCTGTAAAGTTATGTCAACCAGTAGCATAGCTGCTGCTTCTAGATATGATAAATCTTTCCCTGTAGGAAAGAAAAAGCTGAAAAATGTGTCCTAATTTATTATAAAGTAAATGTTGCATTACACTTATGAACAGCTGTGGGCTTGGTTATAGAAATTAGGGATGTGAAATTTCATTTCAATTTTTTGTTAAGAAAATTATAAGCAAAGAGAACTGGAATGTGAGTAACAGTTTTGCAGCTTTCACAAGCTTGGTGCTATTTCTGTCTGTTTAAAATAAGACAAATGCCATTGACAGCAGCTGTTACCTCCTTCAGTGGAGATCACTTGGTGACATTATTGAAAAAGGATGTTTCATTTGTTTCACTTTGTTTAGAAAAGGAAGACCAGTGTCTCATGCCTGAAGCTTGGAATGTCGACCAGGGAGTAATAACCAAACTCAAGGAACAATACAAAAAGGAGCGCAAGGGGAAAAAGGGGGTGAAGAGTAAGTGGAAAACATTGTACCTTAAAATCATAAATCTCACATCTTTCACACCCTTAATTCTTTCTCTCTTTCAATGTTTTCCTAAAATTACTTACTCTTTTACTTTGCTGCTCCTGACTGCTTTCCTGTTCACCAGTTCTCAGGGGTTGAAATTAATGACAGTCAAACAAGTTACCCAATAAATAGCTGGATTAGATAAAACTTCTTCCAACCAGGTGTTGGATTAAATAAAAATTCTTGCTTTGAGCATGGATTATACTTTTGTTATTCAGAAACTTGAATTGTAAAAGACATTGGTTTAATAGTTCACACTTTTATGTAGAAGACTGCAGAACCCTTTCTTAGCTGGAAACATGCCAGTTTCACAGGAAGAGTTAAAGTCTGTTATGTAAATAATAATAATAAAAAAAAAAGTAAAATAAACAAAACCCCAGAAACTGTCTTGAGTATCCTACTAGGTGACAGAGTGAAAAAACAGGTTAATTTCTACCCCTGTTTATACTTAACATTCACAACATGAAAATCATGCTGTCATCATAATTTGTCATGCAGGGCTCGAAATAGGAAGCAACTCTGGCCATCAGTTTATTTGTAAATCACAGGATTTATTTATTGACTTTCATACCTGTGAGACTAGCGTTTAAAAATATTGGATATTGTTATCCAAAAAAAACCCTGTGATCAGTATCTGAAATACAGTTTCTAGCCCTGTATTATACTTCCTTGTTACATTTCTTGAAATGGAAATCTGTTTTGTAAAATCAGTGTTTTTTTGATAAGTAAGCCTTAAAACTTTTTGAACTCGGAGGAAATGTTTAAAATGAAACACTGTATTCACAGCTATATTTCAACCATCTAGCCATACTGAGAATTCATGTGTGAGTGATATAATGCATGTAGCCCAGTAAGAAATTTGAGGGATGTTTCTCCCTTTGTGGTAAGATGCTTATGAATACCAAGGAAATTCTCACTTCCAAAGAGACGTGCATAATGATGCTAAAGGTGTCAGATCCTCACATCACTGAGGCTGACTTTTTTTGTTACTTTTTATATTGATACTCTGATAAGCTTCTGCTCAACAATTGGCTATGTTGCTGAAATTACAGTATCAAAAACACAAACGAAACTTCTTTTTCTTCTAATAAAAAAATAAAATAATTAACATACTTTAAATTGATAAAAGTGATTTTTTTTTTTTCCCATCTTTGGAATCATTTCAGTGTCTGGAAGTTAATTGCAAGTTTGACAAGAAGCTGAGCTGGCCAGCTGAAGTGTTCATGTTTCACAAAACTGATTCTAAACTTACTTCTAGTTCAGATAGAGAGGGCTTACTAATATGTGACCTTGGTGAAATTTATTTTTTGTAACTTGTCCGTTATTTTTAAAATACGGACATACTACGTAGTTCAGCGTAAACAGTTGTAGAGGTAACTTAGCAGAAATTACTTAGTCAAACTGTTGAAATTATATTCTTAGCTGTTGAGTTTTTTTTTATGATAAAGTAATGAATTGTTAATATAGATATTATTGAAACATGTTTTATATATTTGTGAGAAAAATTTCTGCTGTAAAGCAGCACTTGAACATCCAGTGCTGATTTGTAGAGATTACTGCTCAGTACACTTACAGCACCTCTTGGATTGATTTGGTGGGTTTGATCTTGGGAGACCAAATGGATTAATGCAGTACATAAATTAAGCATCTTTCCATGAACAAACAGTCGCTGGAAGGGCATCAATGCAAAAAAATCAGGAAGAATCACAGCCTGTTCTCAGCTATTCATGATATTGCACGTAGGGGAGAAGAATGTGAGGGAGGAAGTCAGAGGAAAAAGAAGGGACTAAATATCTTAACGTTAAATTGTATGAAGCTTGTTTGCTATGACTTTAATCTCACCGTAAACGGTGCTTAGACCCTGGACTGCTACTAAGTAAAATACTGGTTTTATAAATCAGATATTATGATAAAACAATCTTGCAAAATCCTACTTACTGTTTTCCTGAATGAAGTCATATTTTTGTGACAAAGTAAATACGATTTAGTTTATTATCAGTCATTATGATTAGGGTGGACGAACTAGAGTTTGGAACTGCATTAGTAAACTTAAGATTTTGCAAGGCTGTAGTAAACACTCCTGTGAAGTAACAATAGAATGCTTTTATGAGAGAATACATATATTAGAGTACACGTCTGTGTTAAAGCTGCTTAAAAATAGCTGTATTATTTACTGGTCTAGGAAAAAACATAATGGACTATGGGTAAGACATTTTCCCATTCTTAATTAAACTTACAACAGGAAAAACTACCGAAGATATGTTTCAGCCTCAATCCTATATAAAACAGTCAAAACAGGGATGTGGGAAAATGATGGAGCAAAGCACAGGTAAGTGTCGAGAAGGGCATGGGTCTTCACCATATGTAGCTTCAGGAAGTAGGCCAGTGAATCCAGTCGCATTTATATTTTAATATAAGAGTAACATTTTGATTATGTAGTTCACAATACTACACTACAGCACAAATAAATTTTAAATCATGTTGTCCTAAGAATATGCTGCACATCTATAAGTACCTGATGGACAAATTTTAACATATTCACAAATGTCAGCTATTGTTTTGGAAAATTAAATATTCTGATAATCATTGTGACTCAGTTGGACGCATTCTTCAGCATCCCATGCAAGTAGCAGTATGAGTTTATAAAAGTGGGGAAAACTGTGTGTTCACAATTCTCAGTTGCTTCTATCACTTTCTTTTCAAGAAATTCATTTCATGCTGGATGATTAGTTACTACTCAAAATAGGTGCTCATTAGTTTTTCTGTGGTAATGATATAATGCAAGGTAGGATCCATCGTTGCATGTGCTGCTATAGCGTATCTGATTTAAGTAGTGCCATCATGAACTCTGCATAAACCATTTAATTTTTTTTTTTTTTTTTTCTGGTTAGGGCCCAACAGGTCAAAGCTACAAGATATGCTTGCAAACTTGAGAGATGTTGATGATCTGCCTTCATTACAGCCATCTGTTGCACCTTCTTCTAGGCCAAGTAGCTCAAGGCTCATTGAACACGAGATAAACAGGACAGATGAAGGTAAGTTTTAAAAATGTGCGTACGCCTTTGTAAAGGGCAGATGTTGTAGTTGCTTCTGCTTAAAGATTATCCACTAAGGCTTTCCAAGCACTATACAAATACTGGCTCAGCATTATGAGTTCTAAGCATGATAAATGGTATTCCCATTCCTCCTCTCCAGTCCCTGTTAGTAGAGTCAAGGCACCTACCTACATGAAGTCTTGGCTGAATATTTTTGAACATGATAGAAAAAAATCATTTGACACTTGGTAGCCTTGTAATATGAGGGTCTTAAGTCTCTTGCTTTTGTGTGCGCTCAGGCTTGGAACTCAAGTGTGGAACGTAAACTGTCAGGACATAAGAGCATCTGTTTTGCTCCCAATGAACATGATTTTGAGTGTGTGTGTGTGTATGTATATACACACACATACACATGGATGTACGTGTTCTTTTCTGAAGTGCAATGGTAGGCTCTGCAGGTGAACAGAAATGGCTAGGTAGAGCTTTGAAATGCACGTGGTGATTGTGTCGTGAATCCTACAGAACAACTTGCAGCTTGCCAGTGTATTGATTTCCATAATGTATTAAATTTTTTTTTTTTTAAATAAACTATAGCAACTAGTTTACGTATGGAAAGCCGTACATCCTTGCAACGAGGCATGTTTAGTATTATTAATAGTTTTATTTCTGAAAGTTGCTAAATCATCTACCTGAGTCAATGTTCGAATTGCTATGATATGCAGCACAAGAAAATAAATATATGAAGCTGTTATTAGTTTGTAGAAGATCATATCATGTACTCTTTATTTAAATGCTAAATATGTCTTTTGAAAAATGAGTAAAACACAGGTTTCACTTAATAGTCTTCCAGTGGGCATGCAAAAGTAGGTCGGCCAAGTTATAATTAAGATGCATAAGGAGCCCTGGCGTGTGGCATAGTTACCAAAGATCTCAGTGGTTCTATTTCCTACATGTTCAGTGATTTTCTTTATGAAAGAAGGCAGTAACTTAGCAACACTTTGAGAAGTAAAGGAATTTTTTTTGAATGTTTCCTTTCCAACTTTTCTCACATGTACCAAGAGCAATATAAGCAAAGCTCTATTTTCATGTCCTTTCAGGAGTGTGTTTTTTATTTCAGAGACTAAGATGGGCTCTCACAAAAACACAAGAGCATAGCTGCTTGTTGTCAGTCGAAGTTCAGTATTAAAAACCATTAGCTTTGTATTCCTTTATAAACCTGAGACTTTATGATATTTCTGACATAAAATCTTTTGCCTGTTGAGTGGAATATAATATCGCATGTTCAAAAGAGGGAAAACCAGAATGGTAGTTTAGACTTCAGGGTGAAGAAGGTAAGAGATGTTGGTAATTAAAAGGTAGTAACTAAGACCTAATCAAATGACAGAGCTCAAAGGGGTTTATTTGGTTTAAAAAGTAATAGCAAGCAAACAGGACACTCAATAGAGGTATAAGTGTGGAATGGAAAGACCATGGAGAGATTAGCTTCCTTTGTGCAAGGTAAACCCAAGGGGATGAATAGCTCCTGAATCTGATGCCTTCAGGACAAGAGAGAAGCAGTCTGAACAGATGAGGTTAATCCATTGTAAACCATAGTTTGCTTGGGTTTAAATTAATGTAGGTGATGTTAGACTAAATAAGATGCTCAGAATGAGGTGGTATTTTCTTTTCTCTTTCTCTGGTAACAGCAGCATTTGCCAAGGCTTGTATTTAAAATGGACCTGAAAGCGGAAAAAATTGTAATTTACTGAAAAGCCCTTATAATTTGATTCAAAAGGTGCATAAAATCGAGTGAAGCCTTTAATGTCCACAAGAGAACACATTTTCATCTATTCAGTCCCCCTTTTGTGATGTGTAAAATTGGAGACACACTGTGCAGGGAAGCTGGTAAAGGCACAGCTGCTTTGGATTCATACCACTTGATGCAGAGCTTTATGTGGTATAAGTGTGTGAACTGCACCCCTCAGCCTTTGATACTCCCCCCTCTCGTGAATCTGCCTATGGATGCGTTGATGTTACCATGACTGGAGCTCCTATAGGCATGCTGTAGCAGCTGTGGACTAGTAAGTTTGGATACTGCTAGTAAAAACCTGGAATTCAGTGCTGACTAACCTGTTTGGTAGTTAAACTGATTTCACAACTAGCAGTGAATTGTCAGCTTCCAGTTGTGTTGCTAGATTGGAGCGTGTGTAAACAGCTCCATTGTACACATGAATCATAGAATCATAGAAT